TCTTCACGTTCTGTAGATGTAGATGCCACTGGTTCTTCACGTTCTGCAGATGTAGATGCCACTGGTTCTTCACGTTTTGCAAATGTAGACGCCGGTTGAACTCACTATTTTTGGTCCGAACAGGCAACTGGACACATGAACAAGTTTGTTTGCATCTCTGAATGTTGGTGCGTGTGTGTGTGTGCGTGTGTGTCCCTAGTCCAACAAAAACAACCCCCTACCTCCTCGGACGGCAACGCTGTGGTGGGCAGTGCCGTGGGGGGAGGGGCAATTTTAGATTGGCCTTCCCTTCATGGCGTTGGTAACCAGCACAGCGGCCAAATGGGGACTCTGGACGGGTGCGAGTGGCTGGTAACCCCCCCACCTTCAACTATCTACCACTAAACTGCGAGTGAAATTTTTTATTAAGCTTGTGCCGGAGGCCCCGGGGGGGGGGGGCAGGCGTCTAGGACGTCTCCTGGCCAAACCCCATTTGGCGGAGCCAGGAGACTGAATCCTTACCCTCAGGGCTCATCCAGAAACAACAAAAAACCACTGCCTGTGGCCACGTGGAATGTTCGAACGCTCATTGCAGAGGAGAGGCTACCACTTCTCTGTAGGGAGCTGGACCGGTACCGTCTGGATCTTTGTGGTATTCAGGAGGTCTGGTCGACCGGCTCTGGCTCCTGCCACCATGAGGGGTGGAAAGTCCTCTACTTGGGGCAGGAGGCTGCCAAACAACAGGGAATGGCTCTTCTTCTGAACAAAATAATGAAGGGGGCGTGTGAGTGTGGCGGTGAGTTGTGGGAAGCTGTAAGCACAGGCTACTTTGGGCTCGCCTTCCCATCAACCAGAGGCGAGAATTGGTGGTCGTGGTTACTTATGCCCCCACCGAAGACGAACATCCATGGAGGGAAGCAGGCAAGGCCCATGAGTCAGATGCCTTATATGACCTCCTGCCACAGGTGCTAGCTAAAATGGCCCCTCGGGATAGAGTCATCCTGTTGGGTGACTTCAGTGCCCGAGTTGGTCATGATGCTGGCACCTGGTCTGGAGTGATTGAAAGGCATGGGCCAAATCAGCTCAATAACAACGGCAAGGGGGCTGCTCGATTTTTGTGCAGCCCATGGACTTGGATGCATGCCTGGTCCAAGCAAGAACATCTGCTGGACTACATAGTGACGGAACAGTCGATGCGGGCCCATGTCCTTGACACCAGAACCTACCGTGGAGCTAATCTGCCCACTGACCATCGACTTGTCATCTGTACGATGTGCCTGCCATTCTTACACTCTGGTGGTGGGTATACACCCACCACCCAGGACCCCATTCAAACCCATAGTGACATGGTCTCAGCTCGCTGATGAAAGTTGCAAGCGAGAATTTAATCATCGCTTGCGGCTGTGGTTGGCAATGTCCCTGACTCCTGATGTCGAGGGGAAATGGGCGAGGTTTAGGACTGTGGCTCATGCAGCTGCAATGGCTGCTTTTGGTACACGGTCCCCCAAAGACTCTGGCTGACAGAGAAGGTGTTCAGGCTGGCTGAGAAAAAGCGACAGGCCTATTTTCATTGGCTACAGCAATCACATGTCGGAGAATGAGGAGGCTTACAGCAGCCTTCGCTCGGAGGTTTGGAGAGCCGTGAGGCGCTGCAAGGATGGATGGTTACGGGTTTCTGAAGAGATGTAGTCTGCTACAATGGCCCGCGATCACAAATCGCTCTTTAATTCCATTAAAAAAATGAAACCTGCAGCGCCACACCATTAGGGGAAAGAACGGTGATCCAATCTCTGATTCCCAGGAACAGGTTTGCTGATTTGCTAAGCATTTCTGTGAGGTTCTGGGGGAGGGAAAATCCCTCAGCCTGGAAAACAAAGTGGCAAAAGTGGGGATGACCCTGTTTAGGCTGCGGTGCCTCAAATATTGGAATAAGAAGTCACCCCCTGTGAGTGGTTGGCTGAGGTACCATCTGTTGAGGAAGTACTGAAGGCGATCCAGAGCCTGAGACCAGGAAAGGCACCGGGAAGAGATGATCTCCCAAGCAAAATGCTGAGGGAGGGTGGCGTTTGTGCACAGACTGCCCAACATGACATCATAACAACAGTCTGGACCACTGGACGGGTTCCGCAGGATTGGAAAGATGCCCTGGTGGTCCCCCTCTTTAAGAAGGGGGACCGCACAGACTGTAACAACTACAGGGGTATCTCACTCCTCAGTGTACCGGGAAAGGTCCTGGCAAGGATTATTCAACATCGCCTTGCTAGGCACACTGAGGAGAGGCTTGCGGAACCCCAATGCGGTTTCAGGAAAGGGCGGTCCTGCACAGATGCCATATTTTCTGTCCGTCTGTTACAGCAGAGGTGTAGGGAATTCCAACAAGACCTACATCTCTGCTTTATTGACCTGGTCAAGGCCTATAATACCATCAGTAGGCCTGGGCTCTGGGTTGTTCTTCGTGCTTTCGGAGTCTCTGACCCTCTGCTCACGCTCATTAAGGACCTTCATGATGGTGAGCGGGCCCGGGTAAAACTACATGGCCGGGAGTCAGAGCCATTCCCTGTACACCTTGGGGTGCGACAGGGATATCCTCTTGGCTCCCACATCATTTAACATCTAATTCGGCCACGTAGTTTGTGAAGACTTCAATAGCTCTACCGGAGGAATTTTTATACAATGGGAGGCTGATCGTTGCCCGGGTGCGGTCAAGCAACGGCTCCCTATTGCTCAACCACGTTATGTATGCTGATGATCTGGTGATTGCTGCTCGCTCAGAGGAGGAGTTGGAGGCACATTCCCGTCCTTCATAGTTGCCGACACTCGCTCACAGCACTTGCCCCAACAGTCTGCTAGGGGCTTTACGGGCAAACTTTGTCTTTGCCTGCCCTTCATCTCACTCCCTCAATCCGCAACGCCTGGGCGCAAGCAGCACGAGCCTCAAAGTGCACCTAGCCTGGCGCCTGTTGTTGTCGCGGTGGTTGTTGTCGCGGTGGTTGTCGTGGTTGTTGTTGTCGTCGTGCTACAGCAGCACGCTAACGTCACACGGGGGATCGTTGCGCCACGCAGAGAAGCCGGCGGCGGCGGCGGAATGGGCAAGCTGGGTTGTCCCGGCCGCGATCCTCGCTGTGTCCCTCGCCCTGGCGGCCACGCTCTTCTACCGCCGACGGCGCAAGCCCCGGTGGCCCACGTGAGTCGCCACGTTCGCCTCCCCGCGCCGCACTCGTGGGCGCCGGGCGGACGTCGGGCGGATGTCGGCGGGGTTGTCTGTGTGACGAGCCGCCGCTGTGCCTACCCCCCCCACCCCTCCCCCCCACCGCCCCCCTACCACCCCACCCCCATCACCTCCCACCACCCCCACCACCCCACCACCCCACCACTCCCCCACCCCACCCCACCACCAATCCCCACCCCCCACCCCACCACCCCCCACCATCCCCCACCACCCCCCCACCAATCCCCACCCCCACCCCCCACCACCACCCCCCCACCACCCCCCACCCCCCCCCCCACCACCCTCCACCACCCCCCCACCCCACCCCCAACCACCCCCCCACCCCCACCACACCACGCGTGCAGGGATGAACCCCCCACCTCCCCCACGCCACCGCGGAGAAACACGGAAGGCGACCGTGGCCACGTGAGTGGCACTCCACCGCCCAGATGCAGAGAGGTGGCTGGGCCAGTCCATCCATTTCTCTCTCCCTATTCCGTAGTATCGAGTGTCGTGTGTCATGTATAGTTTTTCGATTTAAAGATTTCGTGACTGCAGGGATTCATATTCTTGGTTCTTTCGGAAAAGTCACGTAGAAGGGAAATAATTAAATAATCAAAATACAACTATTACATTCTCACGACGTTTCGATTGCAACACAAGCAATCGTCATCAGGTGTGAAAACCACGGCAAGAAAATTGGAAAAAAGTGGCGTTTTTTTTTCTTAACGTCAGCACCGCGGACAGCGACTGGCGGTCTGAAAGTCACCGTCAGCGTGAACGTGACTAACTGATTATGAGTGTAACGGAGTGCGGTCTGAAAGGCACCGTTAGCGTGAACGTGACTAGATGGATTCGTCCGTCTGAACAACCACCAGTTGCTGTCCGTGGTGCTGACGTTAAGAAAAAAACGCCACTTTTTTCTAATTTTCTTGCCGTGGTTTTCACACCTGATGACGATTGCTTGTGTTGCAATCGAAACGTCGTGAGAATGTAATAGTTGTGTAATAAAGGACTCGACCACTGTATCTGTCTTGATGTCCTTTATTCGGGTTCGTATACTTTTACCACATGGCTCTCTTTCAGAGACCCTCCGCTTGGCAACCCGAGGCTGCCGTCGCTCCCGTAGCCTTTCTCTGTTCCGTAGCAGCCCCGCTGCTGATCTCCTTGTGCGGTCTCCCCGGCCGCCCTCACTGCAGCCCCACCGCTGCTCCCACTGTTCCGTAGCAGTCCCGCTGCTGCTGCAGCCTCACCGCTGCTCCCCGCTTCTCCGGGGTCGGTCACCGCTGGCCGACGGTGCCGATCCTTACTCTGTGTGTGTGTGGCGATCTCGCCACCCCACCAACCTCCGCCTTGCGTGGCCTTACTCTACTCCAGTCTCCAACAACCTCCCTTCTCTTCTGGTTTCTCCCCTTTAAGACCTGAACCCTCTCCCCCACGTGACGTAACTCCTCCCCCCGTGACGTCACATCCGGAAGGTCGTTTATGCCCGCATTACACCACCCTCCCCCGTAGAGAAAAATCCAGCCGACCTCGGCTGAACAACAACTCCAACAAGTAATGCGAGCGAACACGACCGAGACACACTAAAGGACACGAAGCATACACTAAATATAACAGTAAGAACAAGAACACAACACTAACAATCAACGAAATGTAAGGGATTTTGAACGTGTGCGGGTCGCCGGCCCGTCCCGGATGGTCGGCGGCCCTCCCGCAGAGCGGGAACGTGACGGGGTTTTAGGAGCGACAGGAGGAAGTCCTCCTGTCGCCATTGGAGGCCCGCCAACGTCCCGGTCCCGTATCCCCGAAGGCTCAGCCTCGGAGGTGTCCCGCGATTGTGCTCGCATCGGGGTCGGAAGGGCTGCAGGGCTCGGAGTTCCCGCAGTCCTGGCAGGCACCCCCCGAGCAGAGCCCCTCGTCCCCTGCAGTGTCACGGCCGGTCTGTCTGTAACAGGCACGACAGGCGCTCTTGCAAGATCAACGGACACAGGCAAGGGTGAGTCGGCAGCAACAGACCCCGGCAAGGCAACATCAGGAGATGACGCATCAGGTAGAGGGGCAACATATGGCTTCAAGCGCGACGTGTGAACGAACCAACGCCGAGATCCAAACCGAACACGCGCAGACTGTGGGTTGGGAACCTCGATGAGGCGAACCGGCCCTTGCCATGGTTTATGTAATTTAGGAGAGGTACCTGGCCGCACCTGTGGGCAATGGAGCCAGGCCATGTCCCCCACCTTCCAGGGGCAGTCCCCCTTAGAGCGTCGAGCGCACCGTTCGTTCCGGGCCTGGGCTTTGGCCGTAGCCACGCGGGCCCCTTCCCGCGCCTCAGTGACGCGGCGAACGGTGTCCTGAATGTAATCAGGAAGAGGCTTAGCAGGTCCCCTCACTCCAGTTCCCAACTGCACATCCATAGGCAGCACGTTTTCGTGACCGTACATAAGGAAAAACGGCGAATATCCTGTAGCCGCATGCGGCGTCATCTGGTATGCCGAAAGTACCCCAGGGATATGCAAATCCCAATCTGATTGTTTTTCACTCACTGTGTGACACAACATGGCGGACAAAGTCCGATTTAGCCGTTCGACCATACCATCCATTTGTGGGTGGTAGGGAGATGTCCGTATCTTTTTAGTTCCAAGAGCCGCACACACTTCCCCCAACAATTTAGAAGAAAAATTCCGGCCTTGGTCTGTGAGGAGCCTCTCAGGCGCCCCCTTGTCCATAACATACCCAAATAGGAAGGCGTCTGTAATGGACGCCGCTGACTGGTCGGGCAAGGGCCAGGCCATCAGCCAGCGGGAGAGGTACTCCACCCCAACCAGCAAGTATTTATTACCTTTAGCGGATGGCGGGAAGGGTCCCAAAATATCCAACGCTACCAATTCATTAACTCGAGACACCTGAATAGACTTTATCGGCGGCACATATGGGTGTTTAGGCGGCTTTCGCCGGGCACAATCAGGACACGCGCAAACGTGACCGACGACATCTGTTGTCATGCCGTGCCAAAAGTAATGACGCTGCAACGTCAATAGGGTCTTCTGCACCCCCAGATGTAAAAGTGTATCGCAATGCAGAGTCCTAATCAATTCGTACCGCAAGGATGCCGGTACAACCAGACGCCATCGTTCCTGTACCCCTTCCCTCCACATCAGCAGACCATCACGGAGAGCGGTTTCGGCATACCCCCCGTACCCGGTCCCCCACTCCCCTTCGCAGGCCGATCCCGTAAGGTCACCAATGAATCGTCCAACATTTGTTCCCGAATCCACACAGCCCTTGGAAGATTCAAAATCCCATCAGCCGGTCCCGGCTCCATTGGAGCTTCAGGCACCTCGACCGCCAACGCAACAGGCTGAGGGGGATGCTGGATCGGCGCACATCTATGCGTCCCCGACGCGCACGCGCAAGGGGATCGCTGCGGCAACCTAGAAAGCGCGTCCGCATTCGTGTGATGCACCCCCTTCCGATGGTGAATTTGAAAGGAAAATTCTTGCAGCGTGTCCAACCACCGCGCCAACTGGCCGGACGGTTGGTCCATCTTGAGAGTATACTGCAAGGCCGCATGATCCGTGCGTACAATAAACGAACGACCGTGAAGATACGGTCGAAATTGGCGGAGAAAGAAAACAATAGCCAAAAGTTCCCTGCGAGTGACGCAGTAGCGGGTTTCTGCGGGAGACAAAACCCGGCTACCGTACGCCACCACGCGCTCCACACCACCTTTGGACTGAGACAACACGGCCCCAATGCCCGTGTCACTCGCGTCCGTATCCAGAATGAAGGGTTGATCAAAATCTGGATAATCCAACGTCGGCGCCGTAGCCAACCGATCGCGCAGGCCCTGAAACGCCGCCTCTTCTGGCAGTCCCCAAGCAAATTTCCGTCCTTTACCCGTAAGGAGGTGCAAGGGCTTCGCGATCGTCACAAAATTCGGAACAAATCTCCGATAATATGAGGCAAACCCCAAAAACCAACGCACATCCCCCACCGTGGCCGGGGTTGGCCAGTCCCGGACGCACGCTGTCTTGTCCGGATCCGTGGCCACCCCGTCCGCACTAACGATATGCCCCAAATAGCGCACGGACCGTTGCAGTAGGTGACATTTCTTAGGCTTAAATTTCAATTTAGCGGAACGCATCCTGCCGAACACAGCCTCCAACCTCAGTAAATGCTCGTCAAATGTGCGGCTGAAGATGATAATATCGTCTAAATATATCAGACATGTCTCCCACTGCAACCCCGTTAATACCAGCTCCATCAACCTTTGAAATGTGGCAGGGGCAGCATTCAACCCCATCGGAAGACAATTAAATTGAAATAACCCCTGCGGCGTACGGAAAGTGGACTTCTCCCGCGAGGGCTCGTCAAGGGGAAGCTGCCAGAATCCCAAAGAGAGATCTAGCGTTGAAAAAAACTTCGCCCCCGACAAGGCATCGAGGGAGTTGTCCATACGCGGCAGGGGGTACGCATCTGCCACAGATACTTTATTTAATTTCCGAAAATCTACACAAAATCGCAATTTGCCGTCTTTCTTTTTAACCAAAACAACAGGCGCTCCTCATGGGCTGTTAGATGGAGATATTATGTCCGCAGCCAACATGTCATCCACTGCCCCTCGAACCTGCTCTCGCTCCGCCGGACTCATCCGATGCGAGTTTAACCGAATAGGGGCAGCGTCCCCCTGTGTCAATATGATGGTAAAGCAACGAGGTGCGTCCCAAGTCCAAATCGTCGGAGCTAAACACGTCAGAATAACTCAATAGTAATTTACGAAGCGCGCAACGTTGTTCCCCGGAAAGGGAAGGATTTTCCCCACACAATTCGGCGATCCAGCGATTATCTGCGGCCCCAGGGCCCAAAACACCACCAACCATGACCTGGCTGCCCAGATAATCCTGTGCCGTAAACGCCGTAGTGGCATGTGCCACAACCGTACCAGCCGGCACACACACATTTTCGGTACTTGCATTAAGCACCTGCAGAAATGGCTGCTGGTCCGGCCGGACAATAGTTTGCGCCCCGACGAGCGCCGATCCGCCCGTTATGGTGGCGGACGGCGACAACAAAACCCCAATTGCACCTTGACGACCAGGCACAGGCTTCCGATATTGCAAGGGGATAAGCATCTGTGAGCCCTCGAACAGCGCCTGCACCTGGGCGATCGGAGCAGGTCGCCCCCAGGGCGACGGCAGAAATGTAATTTTACTACCACCCGGTAATTCAATGCAGTTTTCATTAATTCTAATTAGAATGGGCATCTTGGCCAGAAAATCAGTTCCCAACAAACAAGGAACTGCAAGGGACCTCGAAATTAACACAATTCCCGAGGCCGACACTCCCCCGATAGATATATTAGCGTCCACCTGGCCCACAATGCCCATGCTACCCCCGTTCGCAGCGACGCAGGAATCATAAACCGGACGCACGGCCTCTGGTGGGATGCCCAACAGATGGAAAATTACATCCAATATAACGGATCTCCTCTTCCATCGCAGGCAGGTCCACCGCCTGAGGAAGGTCGTCGTCGTCGGATGATGTAGCAGATGATGGCGCAGGAATATTCTTTCTTCTGAGCTGTTTTGACATGCCGTTTCACTTCTGACACCAGTGTAATAAAGGACTCGTTCACTGTGTCTGTCTCCGTTGTCCTTTATTCGGGTTCTCTACACTTGTCCCACACGGCCCTCGCTCAGAGCCTCCCCCGCTTGGCAGCTCGACCTCTGCCTTCGCTCCCGTAGCCTTTCTCGCTCCGGTGCAGCTCCGCTGCAGGTTCCCCTTGTGCAGTCCTCCGGCTGCTCTCACAGCAGCTCCACCGCTGCTCCCCGTTCCTCCGTGCTCGGTCACCGCTGGCCGACGGTGCCGAGTCTTACTGTGTGTGGCGATCTCGCCACTCTCCAACCTCCGCCCTGCGTGGCCTCTCCCTGTCTCTAGTCCCCAACTCTCTCCGTCTCTTCCGGTATCTCTCCCTTAAGACCTCACCCCTCTCTCTCACGTGACTTAACCCCGCCCACCGTGACGTCATATCCGCGATGCCGTTTACGCCCGCATTACAAAATGATGCCAACTTTGATGAGATTGTCTGATTAAAGGTAATACGATCATTGAGTAAGTTGCAATGCAGATAAATAAACATCATAATTGGTACTATTGTGGAGCTATTTAAATATATATTTACTCTGCTTGGCTGCCCTGATAATATTGGGGGGGGGGGGGGGGGGGCTGGGGAGTTACATTGCCCAACTTTTAAGTAGCCCAGTGCCAAAGAGTTTTAGTGCTCGAATCGCCTCCACCCAGATAATGACTCCAGAGAGAATCCAGGAAGAAAAAGGAGCGGGAAAGTTGCCGAGGCACTTCTGAATCGGTCCTGGTTGTCCTCCTGCATCAACCCACACTGACCAGTCTGGTGAAGTATGGTGAAACAACCCCTATGATGACCAACGCAGTATGTGAATGTCTTCACCCAATGGTGGCTTGGCGAAGAGATATATCATCATTATTATTGAGACATCTTAGTGTGGGTTCGATAACAAAAATGTAATTATTTATCCGTAGAAGCCATTCTCAGTCCGAAGGACCTTTTTAAGACGACAGGTTTCATATTGGCTCACAAGTTGGCTCACAAGTGACGACATCGCAGGAGGGTTTCTCCACAAATCTAGCGGGCCGCCCTGATGATGCTGGTTGTAACTACTGGTGAAACGTCGTACTCGTAAATTGTCAATGTCGTGGGTTTCCTCTACAACACACCGGTGTGCTGAACTCGTAACGAATCGGCTCGTTTTGTTTACGTTACAAACCTTACTCATTGGCTGTGTGGTGGCGTGCTTAAAGACTCATTTAACCCCAACACCTACTGTGGATAATATTGGTCGCGAGAGCCTACCAGGTGTTACGTTCAGGGATTGTGCATGCAGGATGGACACTTGTCAATGGGGTGACTCTCCGTACAGATGGAAACGGGTGGAGATTAGGACCACTTGCTCTACTGCAGTGGTTCTTAACCTGGGTTCGATCGAATCCCAGGGGTTCGGTGAGTCAGTCTCAGGGGTTCGGCGGAGGTTAATTTTTACAATAAAGAAGGGTTCAGTGAATGCGCATATGAAACTGGTGGGGTTCGGTACCTTCAAAAAGGTTAAGAACCACTGTTCTATGGGCAGCGTTGAGTCTATGGGTAGTGTTGAGTCTATGAGCAGTGTTGAGTCTATGGTGCAGTGTTAAGGCTATTGTGCAGTGTTGAGTCTATGGTGCAGTGTTGAGTCTATGGGCAGTGTTGAGTATATGGGTAGTGTTGAGTCTATGGGCTGTGTTGAGTCTATGGTGCATTGTTGAGTCTATCGTTCAGTGTTGAGTCTATGGGCAGTGTTGAGTCTATGGTGCAGTGTTGAGTCTACGGTGCAGTGTTGAGTCTATGGTGCAGTGTTGAGTCTGGTGCAGTGTTGAGTCTATGGTGCAGTGTTGAGTCTATGGGCAGTGTTGAGTCTATGGGCATTGTTGAGTCTATCGTGCAGTGTTGAGTCTATGGGTAGTGTTGAGTCTATGGTGCAGTGTTGAGTCTATGGGCTGTGTTGAGTCTATGGGCAGTGTTGAGTATATGGGTAGTGTTGAGTCTATGGGCTGTGTTGAGTCTATGGGTAGTGTTGAGTCTATCGTGCAGTGTTGAGTCTATGGGCTGTGTTGAGTCTATGGGCAGTGTTGAGTCTATGGGTATTGTCGAGTCTATCGTGCAGTGTTGAGTCTATGGGCAGTGTTGAGTCTATGGGTAGTGTTGAGTCTATGGGCTGTGTTGAGTCTATGGGCAGTGTTGAGTCTATGGTGCAGTGTTGCGTCTATGGTGCAGTGTTGAGTCTATGGTGCAGTGTTGAGTCTGGTGCAGTGTTGAGTCTATGGGCAGTGTTGAGTATATGGGTAATGTTGAGTCTATGGGCAGTGTTGAGTCTATGGTGCATTGTGGAGTCTATGGTGCAGTGTTGAGTCTATGGGCAGTGTTGAGTCTATGGGCAGTGTTGAGTCTATGGGCAGTGTTGAGTCTCTGGGTAGTGTTGAGTCTATGGTGCAGTGTTGAGTCTATGGGCAGTGTTGAGTCTATGGGCAGTGTTGAGTCTATGGGCATTGTTGAGTCTATCGTGCAGTGTTGAGTCTATGGGTAGTGTTGAGTCTATGGTGCAGTGTTGAGTATATGGGTAGTGTTGAGTCTATGGGCTGTGTTGAGTCTATGGGTAGTGTTGAGTCTATCGTGCAGTGTTGAGTCTATGGGCTGTGTTGAGTCTATGGACAGTGTTGAGTCAATGGGTATTGTCGAGTCTATCGTGCAGTGTTGAGTCTATGCGCAGTGTTGAGTCTATGGGCAGTGTTGAGTCTATGGTGCAGTGTTGAGTTTATGGGCAGTGTTGTGTCTATGGTGGAGTGTTGAGTCTATGGGCAGTGTTGAGTCTATGGGTAGTGTTGAGTCTATGGGCTGTGTTGAGTCTATGGGCAGTGTTGAGTCTATGGTGCAGTGTTGCGTCTATGGTGCAGTGTTGCGTCTATGGTGCAGTGTTGAGTCTATGGTGCAGTGTTGAGTCTGGTGCAGTGTTGAGTCTATGGGCAGTGTTGAGTATATGGGTAGTGTTGAGTCTATGGGCTGTGTTGAGTCTATGGTGCATTGTTGAGTCTATGGTGCAGTGTTGAGTCTATGGGCAGTGTTGAGTCTATGGGCAGTGTTGAGTCTATGGGCAGTGTTGAGTCTATGGGCAGTGTTGAGTCTCTGGGTAGTGTTGAGTCTATGGTGCAGTGTTGAGTCTATGGGCAGTGTTGAGTCTATGGGCAGTGTTGAGTCTATGGGCAGTGTTGAGTCTATGGGCAGTGTTGAGTCTATGGGCAGTGTTGAGTCTACGGTTAACAGTGTTGAGTCTATGGTGCAATCACCCCCAGGCCAAGTGCCAGTATCATGACCAACTCGGGCATTGAAGTCGTCTAACAAGATGACTCTATCCCAAGGGGCCACTTTAGCTAACACCTGTGACAGGTCATAGAAGGCATCTGACTCATCGGCCTTGCCTGCATCCCTCCACGGATGTTCGTCTTCAGTGGGGGCATAAGTAACCACGACCACCACTCCTCGCCTCTGGTTGATGGGAAGGTGAGCCCAAAGTAGCCTGGGGCTTACAGCTTCCCACACCTCACCACCACGCTCCCGCAACCCCTTGTTTTGTTCAGAAGAGCCACTCCCTGTTGTTTGGCAGTCTCATGCCCCGAGTAGAGGACTGTCCACCCCTCATGGTGGCAGGAGCCTGAGCCGGTCCACCGGACCTCCTGAATACCACAGAGATCCAGGTGGTACCGGTCCAGCTCCCGATAGAGGGGTGGCATACTCTCCTCCGCAGTGAGCGTTTGAACATTCCACGTGGCCACCCGCAGTGGTTTTTTGTTGTTTCTGGAGGAGCCCCGAGGGTAAGGATTCAGTCTCCTGGCTCCGCCAAATGGGGTTTGGCCAGTAGACGTCATAGATGCCTGTCCCCCCGGCTCCTCCGGGACAAGCTGAATTAGATATTTTGCAGGTCGCTTTGTGGTCATGAATTGAAGGTGGAGAGATTACCAGCTCCTCACACCTGTCCAGAGCCCCCATTTGGCCGCTGCAGTGGTTACAAACGCCATGAGGGGAATGGCGAAATTAAGTTGGCCCTCCCCCCATGGCACTGCCCATCACAGCGTTGCTGTCCGGTACGAACGAGGAGGTAGGGGGTTGTTTTGCCGGACAACAACCGCCATTCGTCACGTAGAATGGAAATAATATTATTTCCATTCTACGTGACTTTACCGAAAAAAACAAGAAAAATTGTTCATTGTTTGCAAGAAATATTTATTACGTTGCTATTTTAACACTGGGTTCCATTCACTACTGTTTGCATGTTCGGTCGACCTTTTGAATACTTCTTCGGACGCATTCCAGAATATTTGAAACTGTAAAGTTTTCAGCAACCACCAAATAATTTCCTCTGAACCGTAACCTGAAAATCAAGTTGAGTGCTGGGGTTTTGCTCCCTAAATTTTACGTCAAACTCTATATTGGCAATTTAGTTCTATCCTCCACACATGTTGCACTGCTTTTAATCAACACACGCCCAGTGTCAATAGGCGCATTCAGCAAAGGTAACTTTAAACCCAACATCAAAATTATTACCGTCAACAAATAATAACCATCGAACGAAGAAGGGTGCCAGTTCAATCCCTGGTTGGGGGACGACTCAACTCACATCGTCATCACCATCATCAACACCTCCGGCCGTCGTAAAGTGAGCACCACAACTAGCCCCGCCATAGGAACGAGGCACGCCCGGCCGCCTTTGTGTCCCCGACAAAACACTGTGTGTGTACACACTGTGTGTGTAGACTGTTTGTAGACACTGTGTGTACACTGTGTGTGTGTAGACTGTGTGTGTACACACACTGTGTGTGTGTAGACTGTAGACACCGTGTGTGTGTGTGTACACACTGTGTGTGTACACACTGTGTGTGTGTGTACACTGTGACGGAGAATCAAACTCAGGTGGTCGGTTTCATCGCGCACTGTTCTCAGCACGGCGACACCCGGTCCATCCCACGCGTTATTAAAAGAAGCAACCAAATAACAGGACTTAACGTCGAGATGAAATTTTTATTTCTATTTAAAGCATTGGTTCTTAACCTGGGTTCGATCGAACCTCAGAGGTTCGGTGAGTCAGTCTCAGGGGTTCGGCGGAGGTTATTTTTTCCAATTAAGAAGGGTTCAGTGAATGCGCATATGAAACTGGTGGGGTTCGGTACCTCCAAAAAGGTTAAGAACCACTGCTTTAAGATGTTTTTTGTTCATGTTTTTGTTTTTTTGTTTGTTGCGGTTGCACCCGATTCAAGAGCCGAATGGCTCACAGGGCTCTACCTAATAAATGAACTTTGGGTAGCAGCTGTTGGCTTGTCGGAGCAGCAACCCCAACTTGGGGTGCTTCCTCCACTTCCTCCTCCCTTGGTGGCTGTGCCAGACGAGAGCGGCCGACTTATTTGCGAACTCGTCGTGAAGATTCCTGCTGCACAAAACACCTACAAATACAAACAGCGTCTTACAACAATGCAACTTAAGATGTGGATAGCGACCGGACGCATTTGCAGCTCAGGATGTGGTACGGGAGAGTTTGATGTGTGCATGACCGTGTCTCGCATTCATATATATAGATGACTATGGAACATCAATCTCAGTGCAGTGCTAATACAACGCGCACTCAAGCATGACTTTGGTTGTTTGGAGTGTAGAGATGACTATCAGTAGCGATTAATAATTTCAGAACGGTGTAAATTCCAGCGCAGAGCGCTCATGCCCGTGACAATGCGTGATTATAGTCACTAACTCGTCTATTCGGTCATGAATCCTCCCATAACGGAGTCTTCTGTGCTCGAGTTACGGGACCTGTGGTGTCGTCTCTGCCTTCCTCTCTACTCGGTCGGATTTCCTCCCAGCTAGAGGTCGCAAACGGGTACCCGTACCCAGCCGGGTACGGGTACCAGTTTGCGACCCTGGTGCGGCCGGGTACGCGTACGGGTAAGGAATCAAAACCCGTTTGCGACCTCTGCTCCCAGCTCACGGGGAGGGGGGGGTGGGCAACGTAGCAGCGCTCTCATCTCTGTTGGTGGCCCTGAGCTCACCATGGAAAATTCCAGTCCCACAGCGGGGGCCATGCGCTCTCCACGGAAACCCGCGCAGTTTTTTTTACTTTCCGCGATGCGAGGTTCGTGGTGCCCCACTCCGGAGAGATGAAATCGGCACAGACCCCCCCTCCCCCCACAACAAACGCACCCAGCGGAGTGAAGAGCACGGATGGCACCTAGACAGCTCGAGTCCCCACTGCCCCCAGTGAATGTTCAGACGCCCTCGTACGTTGGCTACATTCGTCTGTTCGCGTTGTCTGTGGCGGCTGGCAACGCACGGACGAGTTAAACGGAGCAACGGGCGTGGCCTCACCCTCCGTTCGTTCCAGATCTGACCACGTGTTGTCCGTCTCCACCCCTTTTAATACCTGGGTCATGTGGTACCTTTCCACCAATCCTGGTTAACCTCTATGGAATCTTCTAGACTCCATCGTACGCTCCCAGGACCACGCCCCTGACTCGTCCCCCCATTGGCTGTGGCTAAAGCCAGCAGAACCAATCCTATACTTACAGATGTCACCTTCCCATTATGTCAGGGCCACGCCCCTAGACTTCCCCCCATTAGCTATGGGCCAGGACCGGCAGGGCCAATCATCGTACGAGGTGTAATCCAACAGCAACCCGGATATGTCCTCACATCACACAACAAAGACGGCGATCGCATCGCGCGCTTTCAGGTGACTTCCATGGCCGTCTCGATCGCTCTTCCTGCCGATGTCAGGAATCCACCGGAGCCACGCACTTTTCAACGTGCGTTGAACGCTCATGTCATTCGAACCAATAAGCACGGTTGTCATCGTGCGGCGCGAAAGAAGTTCAACACACACAAACGTTCACTGTGCAGCGCAGCTACTACTATCCCACCTCGTTTTGCGAAACTGACGTTCGGGTAACGACACGCACACACGTGCACAATTACGTGCGTACACCCGGCAGCGAGACGAATCCACAGACTTACCACCGGACCGCATGCCGGACCGTGCGTCGCGTGCCCAACCAACCACCCCCAGCCCCCACACGCGCCCTCTCTCACCTTGGCACCCATCCACCGCCTGCTCGTAGCCGGGGCCGCAGACGCACCTCCCGACGGGCATGAGCCACTTGCCATTGGCGCTGCAGAACATGCGCGGCGCCTCCTCCTCGACCGAGTTCTCGACGCATGCCCCGCGCACCTCGACATGCGAGGAAGATTCGGCGCCCGTCACCGTGTCGGGGAAGACGGCCAGGCCACGCACGGTGCGTGGGCAGCGCTTGTAGTACACGCGCACGGACACGAGCGCGATGCATGCACCCACATCCTGGAAGGCCAGGTGGAAGCCCTTCTTGGCGAGGGGGCCCACGTCACGCACCTCCGTGTTCAGCTTCATGATGCGGCCGACCAGATCGATCTCGGTGAAGGTCTCGTCGGCCACGATGGTGTCCACCTTCACGTACTGGCTCTCGTGGATGCCGGACACGCGCTCGCTGTCCGACTCGTGGTAGTAGACGTTGAAGGTCTCCTTGCACGTGCCCGAGATGCCCGGGATGCTGTTGCAGTCGCGCAGCGTGAACTTGAGCTCGAGGAAGACGCGCTGGGCACCGCCGCGCATCATCCAGTTAGTCCGCAGCCAGTTGTTCTGGTTGGGCTTCATCACGTGGCAGACTTGGTACATCTGAATGGGCGTGTGGAACTCATCGTACCCGCTTATTTCTTCCCACTGTGTTTGTAGGGGAGGGTAGACAGAGAAGGTTGGTGGGTGGAGCGGGAGGGGGGGAGTGGCGATATTTTTGTTAGTGAAATTGGAAGATCGGGAGTTTAAAGTCTCATGATCAGAATCAGAATCGTTCTTTAGCGCTGGGAGAAACTGATGAGCTACGAAGTGTCAAGTCGGAGTGGGTCAGATTATCGGGTCCATTCAGCTCCTTGTCTACCCAGGATTCACATTGCGAGCACCACTTTGTAAGTAATCAACGGCGGTTGCTCTAAGGCATCTCGGCCCCCGCCATAGGAATGTGCAATTTCCACCAATGGCTAAGAAAGGTAAATGAGATGAGCACCTCCAAATGCTCAATTGAGCATCATGGCACTCTGACTTGTAATTCAGTCTTTGGCCTCTATGTACAGTACTTTATATAAGATTCACAATTGGATACAACAGCATTATGCAATTTAGTCGCCAATATATAGATTAATAATAATAGTTCAATTTCTAACGTGCGCAAATTTGCAGACGTAGTGGCCGCAACTCAGAGGCGCGGAGCCAAGCTCAGAATCGCTCAAAAGCATGATTGTAGAGGTGAGTTTTTAAGTGTCTCTTAAAGGAGGCGATTGAGGTGATGCTGTGCAGAGGATCTTGGTATCAAGAGGAGGTCGTGAGTCGCGCTGCGCAGGCATCTGCCGTGTGCTGAGCTGCAAGTTGTCAATAATGAAGAGAGGTACGGTGGGCAGGCTGATATGAAGGCATGGTGGCAGAGGTAGGCGGTATTTTGTGTGACCCTACTGGTGATGGGTAGCCAGTTGAGAGCACGGAGACAAGCTAGTGAGTCGAGACGGGGATGAGTGTGGGCAATGACGACGCATGCCAGGTTATTTTGTAGTCTTTGAAGTTTCTTTAGGCTGCCAGCGGAGGTCCGGACTAGGACGGAGTTACAATAGTCAAGGCGAGACCCAACTATGCAACATGCCAATGTGTTGGCAATTTCAGTAGAGATGAGAGGACGTATGTGTCTAAGAGCCTTCAGGTGAAAGTTACATGAGCTGATGATATGGTTGGTTTGACCGTCGAAGGATAAAGTTGAATCTAGGATGACACCGAGGTAGCTGAAGTGGTCGGTGAACTTGATGCTGTGACCGAAGATGTGTATGTGTGTGGGGAGTGCTGCTGAATTAAGACGTTGCTTGGTACCTAACATGATGGCCACTGACTTTTTCGGATTAAGGGCTAGGTTGTGTGCAGTGAACCATTGTTGCACGGTGGTGGTACATTCCGAGAGCCTCTCGAATCCAGATGCATTTCTAGAATCGATGGCGGTGAATATAATCGTGTCATCCGCGTATGAGTGATGCTTAACACCGAAGCTTGCAATGAGCCGGCCGATCGGGGAAGTGTAGGCTGTGAAGAGCAGGGAACCTAGTACAGAGCCTTGGGGAACCCCGCTTAATGCTGTTGTTTCAGGCAATGTGAACATGCCCACCCTGACTGAAGATTGCCGGTCAGAAAGGTACGAAACTATCCACTTGAGTGCTGAGCCGCATATACCAAAGTCGGATTTCAGGAGGGATGTAAGGAGCAAATGGTTGATGGTGTCGAAGGCTGACGAAATGTCCAGACTTATAAGTGCAACAGTTGAGCCGGAATCAATGATCGTTAAAATGTCATCGAGCACTCTAGTGAGTGCTGTTTCTGTGGAATAGTTTTGACGGTAAGCTGACTGGAAGCAGCAGTAGTTTGCGGAGGAGGTGATGTGTGGTTTTAGCTGGGCGAGGGCTAGTCGTTCAAGGAGTTTCATGGTCATCATTGCACGGATTGAATGTTGTCCTTCGTCACACCTCCGATTAGCATGGTTAGCTTCGGAGGGTACAAAATAAGCTCAACGTGAGTATGTGTAGTGAGCATAAGTAGTGCAGGAGACGTCGATGGAGGCAACACTTATTGATTAAAAAGAGCTACGATACAGCAGCACGTAGCGAACCCTAACACTAGAGCAGTGGTTCTTAACCTGGGTTCGATCGAACTCCAGGGGTTCGGTGAGTCAGTCTCAGGGGTTCGGCGGAGATTAAGACACACACCCGACTCATATGATTGTGCACCAGTAAAAAATATACCTATGTTTTTAATTTGAAAAAATCATATTTTATTTTTACAATTAAGAAGGGTTCGGTGAATGCGCAAATGAACTGGTGGGGTTCGGTACCTCCAAAAAGGTTAAGAACCACTGTACTAGAGGATGTGTTCCTCAGCGAACGTTCCTCGTGAGCTCCTACTACACCCCTCTATCTCAGACCATCCTAGTGGAGGCTAACTGACCTGGCCCAGTTTCGGCTCAGGTCCGACCCTCAGCCACACGAGTCTGGCCCTCACAAGGACACAGACCTCGCTGCTCTGAGGTCGCCCCTGGCTTGCCCTGCTCGGCTCTTACAAGTGTAGAGCCGTTGTAGAGCCGTTGTAGCCGTTGTAGACGGCCGGATTTAGACTTGCCGCGGATGGCAAACAAACACAATGGGCGTGGCTACATCGGGACGCGAAGACGGTGTTTACTGCGACGTCCGCGTTGTTATCCTGGGGGGCTATTGCGGAGCTGGGATCCCCCACAGCCCCACCCCTCAAGGGGGGATGGCTATTTAAGGTGGCGAGCCGGACGGCTCGGGGTCTAGTGTTAAGCTGTAACCAGTGAAGAAAGAAGACTCGCTAGACAGGCCCTGGAACTCCCTGGGATCGCTGCCCTTTTCAGGGCCGACCAGGCAAGCCAGCGGCGTGGCCCTAAGAGCCCAGGACCGACGCTCTTCTAAGAGCCGGACTGGGTATTCCGGGTGCCGTAACCTAGCTGTAAGCTAGCTGTGAGTCAGGCTGTTGTGTTCCGTAATGTAGACGGGTGAAGGGGCCGATACCCCTTCAAGTACTGTAAGTTGCCTGTTACTCGCTGGTGTTAATAAACAAGCGTGTGCCTCCAACTACGTTGTCAAGTCTCCGGGAACCTTACTACATCTGGTGTCGGAAGTGGTTCTACAAGGATGGAGACACGACGGACAACTCCTACCAGAGAGACGGGGGCGGAGGAAACCTCGGCTGACTTTGAGCCAGAAATGGCTGAGGGCGGACTCGAGCAGCAGGGGCCAAGTCCACCCACACCGCAACGTCAAGACGAGTGGGAACCGTCGTCTGAAGGACTGTGGCTGGCCCACTCTCGACTGGCAGAATTGCTCTATGCTGCAGCCACCACACTGGAACAGATTACCCGACTGGGGACGGGAGGAGCTGCACGGGGCGATGGCGGCCAACATACAATGCCGTTTCCCGCCATTTCCAGAGACGCTGAGTTTGGAGTTCCCGCCATAAGTACAGTGCAGGCTGACGGCGAGGCGGGGCTACGTCACGTGGCCGATACTCACCAACCACAAGCCACGTCGGCAGCGGCGGACAACAAAACGTCACCACAGCAACCGCCGTTGCCACGCGCCCAGCCCGCCAAAGCTGCACGGAGTGACGGAGAGCGTTTTTCGCCTACGGACGCTGCGCTGCAACAGCGACTGCCACCTCTCAAGAAATTCGTGGGAGGAGAAGGCGACTGGGGTGGCTTCCGGAGGCGCTTCCTCGCCCATCAAGAGATGGCGAAATGGACCGATGACGAGGCGTTGCGTGCGCTGCCGGCGATGCTTGACAGCGATGCCCTCGCCACTCTCACCTCGGCACCAAGGGCGAAGCGCGCCACGCTGCAAATGGCGCTGCAACTCCTCGCCGCGGTCTATGGACCACCCTCGGACTGTCGCCAGCTGTTTTACGATCGCCAGCGGGGCGCCAAGGAGTCGCCCCTGGCGTACCGCACGGCTCTCCTGGCCCTGGCGAAAACGGCTTTTCCACGGATGGACGAGGATGGGGTGGACGCCATGGTCACGGAAAAGCTACTGCTGCTGGCCGATGATTTGGACATCGTCGTCTTGGCTGAGGACGACGCAAAAATGTGTTCGTTGACGGCCGCCCGGCACATCCATGCCAACCTGCTGGCCCAACGTCGGAAGGCCAGCAAAGCGAAGGCCAGCCATACCGTGGCTGCATCCGCCCTCCCAGCGGAAGACATCTGCGCTGTGGATCGCCTGACGGAGTGGAGGTCCGGAGTACGGTCAGCTCGGGACGGACCGAGCCGCCGGGATCAGCCCAAGCCATCAGCAACACTCACGCGCTGCTACAACTGTGGCCTCCAGGGCCATGTGGCGTCAGGATGCCGGGCTCCTCGGCAGCGTGGTGCGACGCCTCGCCAGGACGTCGCGCCTCGACCCAAGTCTCCCCAGCAAAATCCGGCGAGTCGTGGCACCCCACATGGTTGGCCCACACACACACCTGCCACTCACTCACACACCGCAACGAACGGGGGTCAGAAATTATCCATTGTCACGCCAAAACGTACCTCCGTCGGGTGTGCGGTCCAACCGACCCAGTGGTCCGAGTTGGCTCATCGTGTTGTTGCCGCGTCGTCGGGGTCGTCGGTTGTTGTGGGACATATTGATGGGGTCGAGGTACGGGTCTTGATTGATACGGGAGCATCGGCGACTATTGTGTCTGATTTGATTTACAACATTCTCCCCATTCAAAGTCGTCCCTTGCTCCCTGTTGATGTCCCATGTTACGCTGCTAACGGGGGTTCGTTGGGCATTATCGGACAGATCCGCGCGCAAATTTGTATTGGGGACATTAAATTATCCGGCCCGATATTGGTCTCCTCCTCGCTGGCGGTTCCGTGCCTGTTGGGGACGGATTTCTTGGCCAAAATGCCCATTCGTATACTAATCGACCAAGGATGCATTGAACTTCCGTCGGGGCGACGTATGGCCTTTTTGTCATCCCCCGCTACCACTGTCCGTACGGCGTTTGCGACGGTACCGGCGCTGGTCGCGAGGACGGTACGTGTACCGCCGGGAGCTCAAATGCTCGTACCTCTTAGGCTGCGCCGACCGTTTGGGGAGGGCGTCGGGGATCGGGGGGTTCTGTTGGGACCATCGAGG